ATGAATAATATATACTAGGAGGAAATGATGTTAAAGTTTAACAAGGCTTGGGAAGGGTCAAAAGCATACAGTATAAGACAAAAAAATATCTCGCATGCTATTCTTGAAATTCAGGAGAAATTTCGAACAAATGATTTTCTTCCTCCTCGAAATGTTTTTTTTTTATTGTTTAAAGTACGCAAATCTACATGATTTATTTACACTATCTGTAGTGGATTTTCAGTTTTCGTTTCAAATTTTTTTTTTAATGTGGTTACATTTCATTGTACAGTCACATGTTTATTTCACCTGCTTGGATGAACTTGTGTAGAATATTTAGGATTTTTGGATTTGTAGAATTCAGGAAGGGCTTTACAGAGTTTGTTATTGAGACTTTACATTTCTTCAAATTTTCTAGGAGTGTTGTTTTTTCTGTGTTCCTCGAAATGTTATTTATTATAATTTTTTTGTGAATGACAGGCTATCCGACTGGCTTTGCATCCTCCTTGGCATGGGCCTCCATTGCACATTCGCCTGCCTCCGCCATGTCCTCCACAGGACATTCGCGGAACATTGGAGACTGGCGAATCCCATTGGCAGAGGAGGTTACAGAGTAGCTAGATTAGTCTACACTTACCTATTCGGCATGTCTTGTCTTCTTCACTGGAGAGGGGGATGGGCCATTTTTAATTATGTCGTGGACGATAATTTGTGGTAATTATGGATCTGTACTGGTGTACACGGAGAGAAATATCCAGTAAAAATTACGGAACAATTCAAGTAATTCGCAATGGGGAATCGTTTTCCGGCAATTTTTATAGGACTGGAAGAGAAGAAATCTGAAACGTTCAGTGAATTTTCAGGTTCATCACCGAATAAAGTACGAAATTGTCACGTAATTTTTCCCGAAGATTTAAAACCTTACAGAAATTTCCCGACTTATTATGCTTCCAAAATAAAAAATTCTTGAACGTTCAACAATTTTTATGAAGCTGGTGAGTTATTTCTACGTTCCGTTCCGTAAAATTGCTCAATCGTTGGGGAAAAATGACGGAACGATTTGTTGTCCCCACAGCGGTGAGTCTTCAGACAGGTGATTACTTTTTACGCAACAAATCAGAATTTATGTGGCGATTCGTACAATTTCAGTCCCGACTCACACTTTTTATTGAATTTTTCTCTCTGTGTGAGGAAGTTCTGTGGAAGACCTCGTGCTGAGAAATGTTATTTATTATCCACTAGAAAGACTGCTACTAGAAATTCTATTTGTTTTCGGTGTATTCTATTTTTTTCTTTTTTTTTCTGAAGAAGTGAATAAAATGCAGCGCATGAAATTGAAATATTTTCACCTGAAAATTTTCAAGAGAATAATTCACACAGAAAAATCAAAATCTATCAGAACTAGAATTTTCAACCAAATTTCTATAAAAATTCGATGGAATTTCCTAGCGAGGAGTGCTTGGTGTTTCCTTTCAATTATTGAATAGCAATAATTTATTATTATTATTATTTATTGTTGTTTGAAGGGTTGATGCTGCGGTTACTCTTATCCTCTTCGTCCTCTTAATAGTCCTGAAGTCGAGTAGAAATCTCCTGGCCCCACCGTTCATCATCGCGGTGGATATTCCACCTCTCGTCTTCAATTTTCCAACGAGATACAGAGCTGTGAGTGTTTTCAGTTGATTATGAATTTCTAATTTTGCGTGAAAATTTGTTAACGATCGCGAAAGAATTTTATAGGGAAATCTATTCCCTATAAAACTATTTTATCGATTGATTTTTCTATTTTATTATAGGGAATTCCCTGGAGAATTCTATTGGATTTCTATTGATCTTTCTATTATTTGTCGGCCAATTCTATAGAAAATTCCGCACTCATCTGCACGTTTCTATTTGAATAGAGGTATTTGAGGGAAAATATTCTACAGAGAAGAATCAATAGAATGCGATTTTTCTATCCAATTTATTCTATTCAAATATTTTCTATAGAAATTCTCCGGTTCAAAATTTTCAGCTTTTACGTTTGCTTTATTTCAATTAAAAAGGAAAATGGAGTGGAAAAAATTTGGAAAATTCCTGTCGAGGAATTTCTATAGAAAATGTAGTAGCAGTAGTAGTAGTAGTATTTATTGCATCATTGAATACAATATTCATAAATGCAGGGGTTCTGCGTTACAAAGCGAAAGGTCTTAATAATTTGGAACATGAAATAAATCAAGCGAAGAAGAAGGAAAAATGAATCATATGAATAACTAAGAATAAGTAAGATAGATTCACAAATGTTGATATAAAGAGTACCATGAATAGTACAACAGGCTCAATATAAACTAAAGTAAGCAGATAAGCAAGTACCTATATCTATCTAAATAAGTATAATTCAACTAGGTGACTGATAGAGACATGTGGACTCAAAACTCCCCAAAATTAATGTTTAATGATATGTTTAAGGCCCGGCTGGATTATCTTTCGAATGCTATCTGGATTTTTTTTCCATCTTGAAAATGTAAAATAGATCACAATTTCCATTGCATTTTAAATTACGCAGGTGTCCCTAAAAATTATGATTGTACAATAAAAAAAAGTAGGAAAAAAACTGAACATTTTGAAAGAGCGTTTTTAATAAAGATTAAGAAATAAGTCCGATAGAGAGGAAATAGTGAATGGATAATTTATCATGGTAGCTAAGGATTGACTACTCATTAGTCATTGACTACTGTGACAATGACGACCTAACAGCCATTAGATACATCAAATTATTAATTTGCAATTTCCTCCCTATTGGGTTTATTTTCCAAAATTATTGAAAAAAACGCTCTTTGAAAATGTTCAGCTTTTTTTCGACGTTTTTTTGATTGTACAATCATAATTTTTGGAGACTGCAGGGCTATGGAAAACTGAATAGCAATTGGAGATCATTTCAGATTATCAAAATAAAAAAGTAAACAAGGTCACGTTCGAAAGATAATCCACCCGGGCCTTAATACTAATATTCTGGTTAAGAATGTACTACACCCTGTCGGCCACTAGTCACGTTTTGTTAATTTTTCTGGAAAATTATTGATCGGATTGACGTGAAATAATAGTTTCGTGGTAATGCAATCATTTTCCTGCATTTTTTCTAAAGTTTTGTGAATTTCCGAAAAGTTTTAGAAAAGACGCAGGGAAATGATTGCACGATCATGAAACTTCGTGAGTTATTAAGTAATGATAAAGCGCGAAAACGGTATATTTTTTCGCGTCAATCCGATCGATAATTAACTAAAAAAATGCAAAAAACGTGAATTTTGGCGAAAAGGGTGTAATATCTCCTTAAAGATTATGTTACAAAAGAGCGAGACTCAAATAAGCAGATAAGAAATAAATATAGATCTTCAAGACAGCGCAGATCATGAAAATTCAGTAAAGTAACAAGGTTTCCACCGTCGGATGCTCTAGGGAGAAGCCGGGGGGAATTTCTATAGAAAATCTCTCAATATAAAAAGTTCTATAGAAATATGAACTTACACTGGTTTTTTTTTCTATAGAATAGTATCTACTGGAAATTTGCTATTAAAAAAACGACCGATACGAAATTAATCAACAGAACTTCAATATTCTATAGAATTCGCTAGGTTTTCCTATAGGATTTTTTCGTGCGTGAAACCGCGAAGTTTTCTCCCGATTCCAATTTTCTTCGTTTCAAAATCCTCGAGGTGCTGTCATCCGCCTAGATGAATTAATAAATGAATACCCCTCCATTGAAATTTCTATAGCCACAAAGACATCACAGTATTCATTCGATCCTTCCCGACGAACCGACAATACGAAAGCAATATTTCTCAATCCGCCCCAGAATAAACCCATCAGTGTCACTTCAATCCGACCAATCGTCTCGAAAAATCAAATAGCCCGAATAGATATTACAATCAAGGTGAGAAGATTAGTGAAACTGTATCTTGATTGATCAACAAAAAGCCACGAAAATTAGTTTATTATCAAAACCGCGTTCGTCACCACAACAAAAGCCAACAGAATTTGCCGAGGCAGGAAACGCCACTCAGAAAAATCATGGCTCAAGGTAGCGAATTGTCGATCGGTTACCTCCGTTCAGCATCTTCACAGATGGAATGTGTCTCGCTCAAAAACCTCGGAGAAAATTTACAAAAAATTGAAATTTTCTCCTTAAAAATTATGCAAACGATGTATTTGAATCTTTTTCGACAACCACACGAATAAAAATTTCTTCACAATCTTTTGAATGAAAAAAAAGTATCTTTTATTATTATCATATTATAGATTCTTCAAGAAATAAGATACACGAAGACAAAAAGGATCATAAAAAATGGGAAGGCAATTCTTCAGACTTCTCTTCCCAAAGGAAATGTCGCAAGAAAAGACCTCAAGAAATGAATTTTTCTTGAGATAAACAATGAATATTCCAAAATCCAGCATAAGCTCGGACATATGAAAAAATTTAATAGAAAAACCTAGCGAATTCGCTCGCCATTTCATTGGATTTCTGTTGAACTTTCTATTAGTGTTTGGCCGATTCTATTAAAATGTTTAATTGAAAATATTCTATAGAAAGTCAATGGAATTCGATTTTTCTATGCAACTTATTCTACTGAGATATTTTCTATAGAATTTTCTCGGCTCCAGTTTTCCAAGTTTTTTTGCGTTTGTGGTTTTCTTGATGAAAAAAAGAAGAACAAGAATGAAAAAAGCCCAGCTAAAATTTAAGCCAATTCTATGGAAAATACAAAAACAACATATTTTCTGGATACCCACATGTCCCTGGGAACCCTCGTTTTTCTTCCCACCTCCACCTCATTAAGATACTCGTCACCCAGAGAATCATCGCCACACGGTGAAAAAAAAAGAGGGGGATTGCTCTCCTGTCATACCGCCCAAGTACAGCGACATGCTGATCTCCGTGTGTTCGTAATATTTGCCTCGGTATTGGTCCCCGAATGATTCGGTACGGGGTACGACGTTGATAAAAGATAGGCAGTTGGCCCGAAAGGGATTCAGTATTCTCTCGTTATTCATAGTGTTAAGCGCAATAGAAAAAGCCTCCCATGGACAATTTCGTAAAGTCGTTGGATTACTAACCGTTGGTTAAACCGTTCCTAATGCTCAGAAAGCCTAGTCCCATTGCCTCTAACTCATCGTAAGGTGATCCGAGTCGTCCTGAAAGCTGTAAAAAAGCCCAGTAAATGGATAAAAAATAGTCATCATGTCGTCCCCACCGAGATCATCAGCTCGCGAATTGGTAGCTGACGTTCATTCCCAGGTCGTCAAGTAAATAAATAAAAAATCTAGTATGGATCACGAAGTGAACGAGACAGAGATGAAGAATTGATGATGAGTTGCATTGAAACGAGAGCTTTGGATCCTCAAGACTGGATGATGATTGAGCTGAGAAGTGGTGCCGGCATGACAGCATCAACATTAGATAGGCCAGCATCATCACGCATTCATTACACTATTCTGATAATTCTTGATGCCATATTCTCGGCATTCGTAGCAGCTCCAGCTGTTGTTGGCTACTGGAGGGGCACATGGGGACTTAGTGATCTTTACATGTTTCCAAATGATCCAGTATTGAGTAATGTGACATCAATTGTCGTTGGTTACGGTGGTTTATTATTTTTCAATGTTGTACAAGGGCATTTTAATGACATTTTTCATCCGGACAAACACAGATTGTTTTATTACGTTGGATCCAGAATTTACACTGCCGTTTTTGGATTTTGCTGTGTCAATGCATGGCGCGGGGGGTGGCAAGCACTTGATCTTTATACCGAACAAGCCACTGGAACTGTTCTTGCTATTACTATTGTTGCACTTGCTGCATTGATTTTTATGAAAGCTGTGAGGAATATTTCAGCACCACCTTTTTCACTGAGTCTCGATTCACATCCTGGGTATTTTGAAGTGCCCACTATGTTTCGAGTTGATGTAAGTTGGGGAAATTTTTGGAGAGTGGTTCAGGGCTGGAGGCAAAGGGGGTATATTTGTTGCTAGAAAACGAGGGCCATTTCGAAGTCGTGAAATTTGGAATGGGGGAAACTTGTTTTAATTCTTTGCTAATATCTCGCAATTCGTGGGAGATGGTGAAATGTTCGTCAAAACAGTTTTTGTGGGGATTTTCAAGAGCTACAGAAAAGGTTCTAATCGAAATTTTTGTAACTCCCTCCAATCCTGAGATATTCCCGAAAAACTGACGCAATTCAAAAGTTGGGAAATTTGGATTAGAAACAAGCTGTTTTAGTTTTTTGTGAATATCTCGGAAATTAGCAGAGATGGGGAGTTTATTGTCATAAAGTTTTTTGTAGCTGTTTAAATTCTCTGTAAAAAGTGTATCGACCATAATTCATGTATCTCTATTCTGTTACGAGATATTCGCAAGGAACTTAATGAAGAATCCGAATGTTAGGAAATGCAGGGGAGTATTTCTCATTAATTTATTCAGTAATTCTTCATAATTTCTTCGATAACGAGAATATCATGAATGAATAGTTTGTTTTGCATCCAGAGAAGCACAAATTGTTGTTAATCGAGAGCAAACGGTTAAATACTCAATCATCTTATCAATTAAATCGACCAACCAAATCTGGCGCCTGATTACGATCCACCGAGTTTTAATAACCATTCCCCGATAATCGTGTAATCTCCAGGAAATAGGAGACATAATAGATTAAGAAACGAAACTAAACATTCTTCTTCGATTTTCACAAATAAAATCGAACAAAAAAATTCAGGAAATTAGTGAAATTTTCACTTATTATTATTATTTTTTTTTTTTTTAAATAAAAATAAGAGAAAGATGTTTTAATTCTTAGTAATTTTTCTTCGGAAATGACTAGTTTTGTCTATTTTTTTTTCATTCGGTTTGTATTTTCTTTTATAGAACTTATTCTATTGTGATATTTTCTATAGTATTTCCTCGGCTCAAATTTTCCAAGATTTTCTGGTTGATTTTCTTGATAAAAAGAGAAGGAAAATAGAATATTTTTAAATTGAAAAATTTGAGCCGAGAAAATTCTGTACAAAATATCTCAATAGAATAAACTGTATAGAAAAATGGAATTCTGTAGATTTTTCTATAGAACATTTAACATTGAAAATATTTCTATACATATTTCATTTATAAAATCAGTAGAATTTGATCTTTCTATAGACCTTCTTCTATTGATCAATTTTCTACAGTATTACTGTTTTCATCTGGAAAAAAATGAAACAAAAAACATGAAAAATGCTCAAAAATCATGAAAAAAAAAAATTATATTTTTTTTAATTTTCAGAACTCTCGTGATTGTACATTATACATATTAGACTGCGCATTCAGTGTGGGAGTGGTTGGTACCCTAGTTGTCTTCGTGTGGCGGGGTATTTGGGTGCTTCTGGATCTTCATCTTTTCCCGGAGAATCGAGAATACTCGGCCATTGGGTCAATGGTAAATACTATTTCCCAATACAATACAAAAATATACCCTCTCGTATTAGAAATTATCGATACATTATCATCGCGTTATCAAAGTTTGCGGAAGAAATAATTTCAGATTCTTATTGATCTATTAGACTATTGCGTTATTTTTAACTAGTGTTTACAAAACATTTTCAATGTTTTTTTATGAAAAATTAATGGAATTTATTTTTATATCAGTTCAAACTATCTCTTGAAAATATAAATTGATACATTTTTAATGTTTTTTTTTAATATGGGGAAAAATAAATTGATTGAAGAGTTTGGAAAAAATGAGACTTAGAATGTTTAGTTCAACATTTCTGTTTTTTTTTTTGTAAAAAAAAATTTGAATTGATTTTTATATCTTGAGACTTTTCCTTAAAAATATCTTCAATCGATTGTGATTGTTATTAATCAATCATATCTCTTCAACAAATATTTGTCCCCTTTCTATTTTTGATATTTTTCGAAAACCTGGAAAAAGATAAAGGGAATGAAATTGTTCGATAAAAAAATCAATGTGCAGTCAATCGAGATTATGTTTAAAAAAATAAATGAATGGTTTCAGTTTAAATATTTCGTATGCAAAACGTATAGTAAGCACAAAGCACGAATGACGTTTGTGTTTCGATTATATAATTGAATATTCATCCAATTGTATGATTGTCGGTAGGCGCACGACTGACCCAGTATATCTCATTCTCGAATCAAGATAACTTGTGCAAAATCATTTATTTATCAGGCATGGGTGCGAAGAAAAAACAGTGTCCCAATATCTATTTCTATTAGAACCGTTGCTATTTGCATCAAGTTTATTTACTATTCGTTATTTATCCTGAAGAACTTGAGTTGACAAAAAATTCTATTGGATTTCTATTGAAAAGTATTAGTTTTTGGCCGATTGTGTTGAGGAATTCCGCTTCACTGTACGTTTTATTTATAGAAAATATCCAATAGAAACTTTTTTTCAGAAAAAACAAGTTGAATTTGATATTTCTATACAATTTTTTGTATTCATAAATTTTCTATCGAAATGCCTGATACATGAATTTTCATTCTATTCTTCTTCTCTCTTCATTAAAACAAATGAAACAAAAAAACTTGGGAAATTTGAGCCGAGGAATTTCTATTAAAAAAATCTCAATAAAATAAGTTGTATAGAAAAATTGCATTCTATTTACTTTTCTATAAATATTTTACATATAAAATTAGAATTTCATCTTTCTATAGACTTTTTTGTATTGATAAATTTTCTAGAGAAATTACTGTTTTCGTTTGAAAAAAATGAAACAAAAAACTTGAAAAATGCTCAAAAATCATGAAAAAAATCATTTTTTTTAATTTCCAGAATCCTCGTGATTGTACATTATATAAATAATTTTATAGATAAATTTTCTATAGAAATTTTGCGGTATTAATTTTCCAAGTTTTTTCCACTCTATTGTTCTTTTCATTAACAAAAACGAACAAAAAAAAACAGAAAATTTGAGCGGAGGAATTTCTACAGAAAATATCTCAATAGAATTGTTCAGAAAAATTAAATTCTATAGATTTTGTCCTATAGATTATTACCAATAGAAATTCAATAGAATTCTACACTCTTTTCCAGCGAATTCGTTAGGTTTATCTACAAAAAAATGTTTCCGTCAAACGGCCTTATTTATGATTTAATATTTGCAAAAATTGTAGCACATTGTCTATTCAATACCGACTTAATGCTCTTTTTTCGTGTCTCCGCTGAAGGGATAATGCACTTGACATTGTAATTTATGGAACAAAAGAATTATAAATTGAGGGTTGAATCTTGAATAAAGTAAATACATGTAGAATGGCATGTGTGACACGTGACATAATATTACTATCGGCGGAGCCTACACATGCATTGAGGGAACGGAAGTGAACCCACGTGCTAGAAACGTCACACACTGAGTTATATTATTCTCATCCTCTGGAATGGCTGAAGGGACACCAGAGTTTTTCTATTCATCCATGAACTCGTGGCATCGATTGTTCCATCGATTTTTCATGTGATGATTTTTCGTGTTTTTGAATGAAAGAAATTATTCAGATTCTTCGCTATGGGAGGAGGGAACACACTTGGTTTATTTCGGGTTGAGTATATGAACGCTAACTCGATTAAATAATAGGTCGTTCAAGTGGATTAATCCACGGTTCCTCCTGATGAGGTGGATCTTGTGGCTTGCCCTTAGACACGTTTAACCCATTGAACTTGATATGTTAAACTTGGCGAAAAGCCGTTTGCCCGATTTTCTTATGTTGGATGATTGAGATTCGTGGTAAAGTGGGGCCATGCAGGAAAAAATTCGTGGAAAAACCTAGCGAATTCTGTTGAAAATTCTATAGAATTTCTATTGAATTCCCACTGAAAATTCTATTAGGTTTTGAACGATTCTAGTGGAGAATTTCATAGCTTTAAATGAAAAACGCTTTAAACGGTTAAGGGGAGACTACTATGAGTTTTAAAAGTCGCGGGCGATTGGAATGCGATTTCTCATACATTGAAGATCGATTATGTATGTCTAAAAGGGAATAATTAGTGCAACGAAAATAATTATTTATTGTTCGTTCGTCCCGCACACACTTAAAACATTAATAATAATCCAAGGCCTCCAATTTTTTAGCTACAAAGGGATCTTTTTCAAAAATTTTGAAAAAATGTGTGCAATAATTATTATGAATTCGTTTTTTGAAATTCGACTCCTACACAGCCAATTTCGTTTTGTTTAAAATAAAAATTTGTGCCTTTCATGCAGAATAGGCAGAAAAATTATCCTTAAAATATTTAAATTATATTGTCGATTCTTTTTTATATTGTCGAAACATTTTTCGGGCTATTTTAAATGAATGGTGCAATTTTTTCTTAGAAAAATAACGAAATTAGTTGTGGAGGAGTTGAATTTCAAAAAACTAATTCGTAATTGTTATTAAACATACTTTTTTCCGTACTGCTTCTCACTTTTCCCAGCTCGGGGATTGGTATTGACTCTTCCCAAACTGGTAAAAGTGGAAATTACTACGGGAAAATATCGTTGGCGTCTAGATGATAATATCAGTATTCTATAGAATATTTTTCGATTGAGACATTTTCGAAACAAAAACACAATATTCAAAATTGTTTCCAAAATTTTAAAAATCTATTGGAACATGGAATTTTTACAAATAACATAAATTTGCGAAAGAATTCGAACTCAAAATAAAAATTGTCAACACTTCAATTGTTGCAAAAATTCAAATTTTGAAAAAACCTCAACATTTCAACAGAACACTAGATTTCATTTAAAAAAACAAAAGCCCTGAAATTGTGATCAGTTTTCCAGTTTCCATAAGCAGCTAAAATTCAAAATGAAAATTTTTAATCCATTTTTCTACAGAATTCAAATTTTGGCAAAACACTAGAATTTACTTTAAAGAAATGAAAAAAAAAACAATAAAAAATAAAAATAAATATACTCAGAAAATAAGAATGTTGACAAAACACTAAAATTTATTTTAAAAAAAATTAACTACTTTAACAAATGATAAAAATAAAATAAAATTACATAATTCTAAAAAATAATAAAAAGGAAAAAAAATCATTAAAAAATTGTAAAATCTTCATTAATTTTGCAGGTAATAGGCTACATCCTAGTGGCAATAACCTTCTGCTTCCAACCAGTGATGCGTTACGTGTGCAGTCGTCTGCAAGGGCTATCTCGTCTTCTCGCAGCGGACGCTTTCCTCGTCCTGAGTTTCTTGGGTACAGTGAACGTCTGGCGGGGAATCTGGGGGCTCCTGGAAGTCTGGCTCTTCCCAGACAACGTAGAACTCTCCTGCTGGATCACTCACATCGGGTGCTTCCTCTTCCTCGGTCTCCTGAACTGCAGCAATTCGATCCTCGTCCGAGGGGTGTACATCGACGCTGAGGAGGAGGAGGGAAAATGCGTGGTCTTCCCCTGTCACTATCTGAGGCTCTTCTTCAAGGTATTCCGCCCATAAAATGTTCCAAAATATTTTTTTACATTTTTTTGTGGAGAATTCAAACACTTTCAGTGGAAATTTCCCGAACGAAGAAGACTGTACATTACCTTTTTTTTTATGAAAAAACTTCTGTGAAAATTTCTGCATGGAAAAGGTGGTATTAAATTTCTATAGAACTTTCTATTAGTTTTTGGACGATTCTATTGAAAAAAAACGTACAGATAGCTGCCGGCTTTTTTCGATAGAAAGGTTGGAAACTATTCTATAGAAAATATTAATAGAATTCGACTTATCTGCAAATTATTGTATTGGGATTTTTCTATATGTAGAAATTCCTTGGCTTGAATTTTCATATTTTTCGGTTGATTGTTTTAATGAAAACAGAAAAAAATAGAGTAGAAAAAACTAGGAAAATTCATGTCGAGGAATTTCTATAGAAAATGTCTGAATAGAAAATTCTATAGAAAGATGAAATTCCAATGATCATTCCATAAAATATTTCGACGAATACTTTCAATGGAAAATATTCCACAGAAAAAAATCAATAGAATTCGATATTTTGATAGAATTTGTATGTCAATTCTATTGAGATATTTTCTATAGAAATTCTTCACCTCAAATTTTCGCAGTTTCCTCGTGTGTTTTTTCTAATGAAGAAAGAAGAGCAATAGAGTAGATAGAAATTGGAAAATTCATGTCGAAGAATTTCTATAAAAAATGTCTCTTTAGAAAAAGTTCTCTAGAGAGATGAAATTCTACTGATTTTTTCTATAAAATATTTAGGGAAATATTTTCAATAAAAATTTCAAATAGAGAGAAAATATTCTAAAGAGAGAGTGAAAAGAATTCGATTTTTCCATACAAATTATTCTAATGAGATATTTTCTATAGAAATTTTTCGGCTCAAGGTCCATTTTTTCTCGTTGGATTTTTTAAAATGAAAGAGGAGGAAATGTGAGTGGAAAAAACTTGTAAAATTTATGTCGAGGAATTTCTATAGAAATTTTTCTATCGAGACATCTAAGAATCCTATATCGAGTTATCTATAGAAATTCCTATAGAATTTTGATTTTTTTTGTTTCAATTTTTTAAATGAAAAGAGTAGAAAAATAATGAAAAAAATTTGAAAAATTCATATCGCGGAATTCCTACAGAAAATGTCTCAATAGAAAAAGTTCCATAGAAACGTGAAATTCTCCTAATTTTCCTATACAATAGTTTCTATTGCACATTTCCTTTAAAAAAAATCGCAGAAAAAGATTCTTACTGCAGAATTTCGATAGAATCGCCGAAAAACGAAAGCAATTTTCAATAGAAATCCAATAGAATCTCCTCTCAAGCTCGCCAGTTCTTTCACAGAAATTTTCTTGTGCCACCAAATTGATCATTCCATCTTCTGCTTCCCAGATCGAACGCGAGAAGAAAGAGGCTAGACGCCGTAACCACGTGGCCCCATCCCGAGACTATCCCCCGAGTGAAAGTGCGGGTAAAGACGCTGAAAACGGTGCTCTCCTTAACTGCACCCCATTGCCAACGATAATTCCACCGACCCCAGAGTGTCTGGTGCTGAAGTAACCGTCACCCCGACGACATGAAAATCATGTCCAACGACAAGTCACTGAGAGGACGTACAGGGAATGAAAAATGATACTCACCGAATTTAGAAATGACAATGAACTTGGCTTAACTCGCGTGAGAAAACACCTACTATCTTGTAAATGATATTTATTTTCACTAGTACCAAGAGATAACAATAAACTTTATGTAAATATTTTTCAATCAATCGTGACCTTCATTCAATAAATGTGAATAGAAAAAATGCGAGAAGACACATTTTCTCGAAAAACGAGAGACTAAATTGCCTGATCTGATGAGTAAAGTACGAAGTCGTTAAAGCCCTTGAGACCTTGGGCGAGATAATGGTATTGTTATCATTACGCAATTCTCTCGTACTGTACATTCTTCCCCGTATATCCGCAGGGGAGACGTCCTGTCGACATTTCATTATTATTCATTCACTGCCGTTAATGATTGAACAAAGGAATGCTAAAAAGTTTGAGCCATTATTCACCGGGAAGTGGTGGATAAAACAGTGCCCTCGTGGCCTACATATTATTACGTCGACAATGGGGACACGGTATGGAAAATGTAGGGGACTATACTGTTCATCGCCTGTTTTTTATGTATTTTATTTTGGTGGGATGGAATACAATATTTATTATCGAGAGTTATGGAGGAGTTTGGCATCGCCACGAAACCAAGTCTCTTAAATTAGGGGAATTTTAAGATGATGGGAAATTGAACCATTTTCCGTTATCGAATTTGTCAATCAAATTGCGAGAGAAAAAATTGAAAAAATCATGAATATTCATCGTTATTACAATTACATTTTGCCCAGAATAATAATTTTTTAAACATTCGTTGTTTATAAGTAAATAATTGAAATTGTTTAAGCTTTCAGAAACCTTATTAACTTCCCGATCTGGGGAAGTCATAGTAATTACCCGGAAAATCAATAATCGATTTTTTATCAAATGTTGACATTTCAAAATGTCCACATTCATTTTCACCCATTTTTAACACGATATCTGTGTATGTGTGTGTGTGTGTGTGTGTGTGTGTGTGTGTGCGTCGACGCGTGTGTCCTCAGAATTTTGGCTCACGATTTCTCACGAAGGAATGATGCGATATTCGTAAAAATGGATGGAATCGAAGCGTTTTTATGTAACTTAGTGCTGATTAGATTTTGGATGAAATTGGTGGAGTGGTTCTTGAGTTTTTTAAGAAAAACCATTTAAAAAAATTTTATTTGAAAATTTCAATAGATGGTTTCTTACGAGCAAATGATGCGATTAAGGTCAGTGACGTCGCAATCTCATTAATAACAAAACGGTGACCATAAAACAGGATTTCAATCCGTCGCTGAATTACTCAATATAACCCCACCGAACAGCCGACAATCCCCTCATCACTCAAACTTTCACAACAAAATAGTCACCTCCAATTCCCCAAATTTTCTCGTTTTACACAAAAAAAATAATTCTCAAAAAATTTAAGAATAATCTTTCTTTAAAGAGAGTGCAAACACAAGGACATTTTAGCTAAAGTAGAAAAAGCGATCCATTTTGCCCCAGTAGTAGTTTTTTGTTTTACCAAAAAGAAGGTCATAGGACATTGGATCTGCACAAGATCTAATGGTAATGGATGTATATTTATGATAGTTTCAATAACAATTATTTACAGGAAGATCAAATCGATTATTTGAATGCCATTTACAGATTTCCAAAAAAAATACAAATTTCATGAAGTGCAAAATCAAATAAACACAATAGACTGTGGAGCATTCGCAATATATTTTGCCACATTATTGTGTTTCAATAAAGAACCAAGTGAACAAAGAAATTATGATGTGAGCATAATGCGTCATCATATAGCATCAATGTTAGTAAATAGGAGATTGCAAGACTTTCCTGACCATAGATTTGCAACTAATTAATGAGAAATAATATTAATATGAAGATGACGAATTTCTCATCCGCCCAAAAAAACGACAATGAACCGGATAATAAATTCAAGAAAAGTAAAGTTCGATCACAATGACAATGAAAATTAGGTGAGCGCTGACTGAAAAAAAAACACATATGTACACACACACACACGCACTCACTTTTTGCAAACGGCAGGGAATAATTGTATGGGCCATGTAGATTGCTTGAAAAATCAATTACAGTTTTCATAGAGTGCAATAATATTTCTTTAAGACTATTCTTTTATAACGATTTCTATTGAATTCCTATACGGAGTAGACGAATCGGGAAGTTCGTATAGTGTGGGCCCAACAGGTCACATCCACTTCAACGCACCCACATTTGGGAGCGAGCGCAGCGAACGACCAACAACCCAATCCACTAGTTTTTTTAGACATGAAATCGATTTCTGGTAAAATTCTGAATATTAATAAATTTGTTACGATTCTGAACAAGTGACCTTTATGGTGGTCAATTGATTGTTTATAAATTATGTATATAAAAGGCTCGTAAGACTCCACTCTCTCAACTGATTTTAGGGTCGCTAGGTCTGTATTTTCAAATAAGATTAAAGACAAAAATATCTTAAATCATATTTTTCCCCTAAATTGTACTTAATTACACACATGAAAAAATTCAATAGAAAACTTAGTGAATTCGCTAGAAAATTCTATTGGAATTCTATAGGAATGCTAGGGGTTTCTACAGGATTTCGATTGGAATTCTATTGAAAAATTCTATTTGTTTTTTGCGCTGATTCTATTGGATATTCGATAAGAAAAAGTCAATCGATTGCGAATTTCTGTTTGAAATTTTCTCTTGAGATTTTTTCTACAAGAATACTTGGGCATCAATTTTCTAAATTTTTTCCACTCGGATTTTGTAATGCAAATCAGAACAAAATCCAGTGGAAAAAAATTAGAAAATTTGTGCTTAATGATTTTAATAGAAAAAATCTCAAGAGAAAAAATCGAACAGAATTTCGACATCTATTGACTTGTTCTTCTCGAATATCAAAATAGAATCAGCGCAAAAAACAAATAGAATATTTCAATAGAATTCTAATAGAACTTTCTAGCGAATTCGCTAGGTTTTCCATTGAATTTTTTCATACGTGTATCCAGGTATTTTTCAGAATGGCATAAGTTCCTCAAATAACAAAAGAAAATGCACTCACTCGTCCCTATCATAATAACCGAAATACGAAGGAAGACAATAAATAAATCAAACAATCGATGATTTCAGAGCAGACATAACAATCACGTGCGATTGAACCCTTATCCCCAGAAGTCCGTCAACTCTCATCAATGATTATCTATCGATTGGCAATCAATCTTGACGGCCCATTGGCCCTCTGACCGCATCGTAAGAAATTCTATTTGAGGCGCTCCTCACTCTCCCACCTCTAGACGATCCTCCTCTCATTACTCTTGAGCTAAAAATCAGCTTGCGTGTTGCGATCAACGACAAATTCGATAATTCCCCCGCTAAACAACACAATTCCCCTGATTAAAACCCACGAAAAACTATAAACACCTCATGTGTCAAAGCCCCTGAACCTCGCGAATTCGTTCATCTCCCGGGGAAAAAATCAATTCGTTTTTAAAAATTGCGTCCGTAATTTTCGATCGCGATCTGTACGGAAAGGCAGTACGAAAAAATAAATTGATGAGCGTCTCGAGAGGTACAATGGCAAGTGACGATGAGATGAAAGACGTTCCACTCACATCAGTCGACTTTGAAGTATTTGGTAAAGTCCAGGGTAAGTCTCTAGGGGGTAAGTTTCAACTCAACAACAAGAATCATCATGAGTGAAAAGAACGAAGAATAATTCGCAGGATGTTATTTTACAAAATACACGAGAGATCTGTGTCGATCGTTGGGAATCGGTGGATGGGTGAAGAATAGCAAAAATGGGACGATCATGGGGAAGATGCAGGGGCCGAAGCCATATGTTGAGCAAATGTGAGTATTATTCTCTCATATCGTAGGCATGAACAAATTTTATAGAAAAATCTGTCAAATCGCTAGACAATTCTATTGGCTTTCTACTGAGATATTTTCTATAGAATTTCCTGGACTCAAATTTTCCGAGTTCTTTTGTTTAATTTTCCTGATGAAGAGAATAGAAAAATTGAGCCGAGGAAATTCTGTAGAAAATATCACAATAGAATAAATTGTATAGAAAAATCGAATTCAGTTGACTTGTTCTATCAAATTTTTTCGTGCGTGCAATAATTTATGCATTAATTATGATTTGAATAGCATGACTAAACATGACCAGAAACAACTGAAAATGGAAAAAAAGAAATGACAATGAAAAATAATTGACAATGTTTGTTACAAAATTATTTAGATGATTTATAATTTTGTTTAAACTGAATAAATTGATAATTTCATTGCTAAATTTTTCGTATATTTAATTGGTTCTGTAATTGGTCATGGGCTGTTGGGTCTTCGTGAAATGAAAATGAAAATGATGAATTCGCATTGATGTTAATCCTCAGTTGATGGCGTCAATTAAACTTTTTAATAATGAATTCATAACAAAATAAAATTGTTTTATAATAGCCGATCTATATCCATCATTTCCACGATTATCTTGAGCAACTTTCTTGGCAATCCATCAAGGTGGCAAGCTAATAATCTCGAGTATTTATTGCTTCATTAGCAAAACATGGCGCAATGTCAAATTATTGAACCACCCAAACACATCCCGGTTATCCATCAATGTCAGGATAACAGTGCTAGTAATTTTTTGTTGATTCTCGTGAAACTGAGGCAATTGTCACCGAGTGTCTTTTTGCGAAAGTTAATTAGAATCTGTCTGACTCCCGTCACGTGACAGCTGATCACAATGAACTAAAATAAACACAGTTGTTCTGATTAGCTGCTAATTATATACAGGTGGCAATAGCTGGTGATGTTTGTTCTAAAAAAATCGCTTAAAATTTTTATTATAATGCAAAATAGTGGTTATTTCACGTATGAAAAAATTCAATAGAAAACCTTGTGAATTCGCTGGAAAATTTTGTTGAAATTCTATGGGGGTTTCTATAGGATTTCTGAGATTCTATTGAAAAATTCTATTTGTTCTTTGCGCTGGTTCTATTGAATATTCGATAGGAAAACGTCAATAGGCGCGACGTCAACGGCGCAAAAAACAAATTGAATTTTTCAATAGAATTCCAATAGTAATTCTATAGAAACCCCACAGAATTCCTATAGAACTCCAATAGAATTTTCTAGCGAATTCGCTAGTCTTTTTATTGAATCTTTTCATGCGTGATGTCATGAAAAATTGGGTTGAATATTTCTTCTGTCCATAAATATACACATTTCGGCGGCACTAAGATTCACGTACGAAAAAATTTCACAGAAAAATCTCGCGAGTTCGGTAGAAAATTCTGTTGGATTTCTATTGAACTTTCTATTATAGACTTCGGCATAATCGAAATTTTGAATTACAGTTAAATTTTGAATACGTCAATTGGTAATATTACTCATCAATTTTTTGATTACAACAATAACCATCAATTTAAATGGTCAAATTCCGAATTATTTTATCAACCAATAACTGAGAAATTGAATGACCAATTATTATATTATTTTTCAAATTTCAATTCTGAAAAATAAATCTAAATTACTGTAAGGCGCAACTTCTCGTAATATTACTAAAGTAATGATTGATGCCGATCTATGTCCATTAGTTTTTGGATGATTCTGTGGAAATAACTTGGAAAATTCATGTCGAAGAATTTTTATATAAAATGTCTCAATAGAAAAAGTTCTATAAAAAGATGAAAATTTACTTATTTTTCCTATAAAATATTTTCTATAAAAAATGCCCGCAGTAAAGCTGAGGAATTCCTCAATGGAATCGGCAAAAAACTAATAGAATTGGCAATAGAAATTCAATAGCAATGCAATAGCCTTTTCTATCGACTTCACTAGGTTTATCTGTGAATTTTTTTCATGCGCGACAAAATCTCGTATTTGGTATGTGATTTTTAGTGTTGATATTTCATCTTTTTTTGGTTTCAGGGCGCATTGGCTGACGACAGTGGGCAGCCCTGGATGCGAAATCCATCACACGGAGTTCACGAATTGGGAGACTATTAGACGACCCTCTTACGGAGCCTTCCAAATACGATTTTAACGCGAATTGTCAAGGGATTTAACAATAAGGATTAAGATATCACGATCTGAACGAACGAATGCAATGATTACCTTATTTTAGATTCTAATTCTCCTCTGTAATTACTCCGTAATTTTGTTAATTGAAAGGTTATTTATGTATACGACTCAAGATTATTTAGATACCTCATAACAGCTGCTATAGGGATAATATTTACGTGAATAGTATTGAAGTTGCGATAATAATCTAGGTACTGAAAAATCGGGATTGTTTAAAAAACCAATTCACTGATGTGGAATAATCAATGGTAATGGAAAAATATGTCGAGAGAAAATTTGTTATCTAACGTTTGAAAAATAACTACGAAAAATAAAAAACTTATTTTTGTTTTTTACACAGGATTGTTTCTAAATCAGGATTGAATCTCGATTGAATCAATTCAACGAGAAGTCAATAAGGGATTTCATGAAATGGAATATATTCTTCGCCTCCTCCTCTCTTTATTCTCCTCTCATCTTAAAAATGTTTCTACTCAACAAGATTCATGAGACAAAACAATGACAATAATAATATATTACAATTGATCATCTATTATTTATAATACACAACAAATTTATTTATAACTGCCCATCGTAGATGAAGGTAGCGTCGAGCATCAACTGCGCCAGGTGATAGTCCTTGTGGGTCTCGGGCAGATATCGCGATACCTTTCGTATTAATTCGATGGTTGCGTCATGGGAGCTCGTGGATATGACGACACATTGAATATTGAGCTGTTCTAGATATTGTGCGAGTGATGGACTTATCCTGGAGACTTGCTCTAGGAGGGATGGTGTCTGGGACAGGTAATTCATCATTCTTCTGCCTGCTACTGGTAGCAGGCTTACTGCCAGGGATTCCGTGTTGTTTATTGCCATGGAAATCTATTCCAGTGAATAGAAAACGAAATTTCGAGGATAATTTGACGAGAATTAACCATTTTTTGGAAGGAGAATTAATATTTTTAAGAAATGTTCGAAAATACGAGGTAGATGACACGTGTGGACGCCGCCATCGTGGCGGTGCCTCCACTTCGTGTTTTCAAACAGACCTGAAAATTATTTATTCTTTTAGGATCACCCTCAACTCACTTAATCTGGTTTCTATAAAGTGAACAAATTTTTTAAGCCATCTTTCAGATTTTTCCATCGCTTTTTCGCGGAGAATTCATGGCGCGAAGTTTTTTCTCGAATTTCAGTATTTTTTTTATTCCCGAGATTTCTTAATTAAGAAGAATTAATCATTTTGTAATAATTTTAGTGGCGCCTCCACCTCGCGTTTTCAATCACGGCTGAAAATTATTTAGCTTTTTGAGATCCCCCTCAACTCACTTCATCCGGTTTTTATAAAGTGAACAAATTTTTTAAGCCATCTTTCAGATTTTTCCATCGGTTTTTGGCTGAGAATTCATGGCGCGAAGTTTTTCCCGAATTGCAGTGTTTTTTTTACTCCCGAGGGTTCTTAATTAAGGAGAATTAATAATTTTGTAATAATTTTAGTGGCGCCTCCACCTCGTGTTTTCAACCACTTCTGAAAATTATTCTTTTTTTTTTAATCACTCTCAATTCACTTCATCTGGTGTCTATAGAGTGAACAATTGTTTAAGCCATCTTTCAGATTTTTTCATCGTTTTTTGGCTGACAATTCATGGCGCTAAGTTTTTCCCAAATTTCTGTATTTCTTATGGCGGTTCAGTGTGAATCGCGAATTAATAACCCGTGGTTAGTAAAAATAAAGTCGGTTGAATTAATCACGTGAGATGTGTTTAAAATCAGTTTCGAAATCGGACTGAGGGATTTGGTCGGGAGCGTGAGCGTTCAAATACCCTTTATCATGGAAAGTTCGGAAATTATCTAGAAAGATGACGAGAACCAGGGATAGATCGATGTTTGTCTCAAACATGAACGATATTCGAAATAATAATTCGTTGTGGCTCGCGCTACATATTTTTTGACTCCCGAAGCTGCTCAAAGCACAATCCACGGACATTTTCAGGGTCAAACATTCTTAAAACTCAAGCATAAGCTTTAACCAAAATAATGCTCACCTCTTCCGCCTGTCTATCGAATCCATTGACATAAAGTTGATAGACCTGATGAATCCTCAACCGATCCTTATCAATCTTCCATAAAGCCGCCATCGTCTGGCACTTGCTCATCCACAAAACGGCCTCACTATCACAAGCCTCCCCGCCCTCCCCCGAAGTCTTCTGATGAATGGCCTCAACAGAAGCTGTGATGACTCTGCACAAGAACTCCATCCTCATATTGTCCCGCTTATCATCCCTGTACCAACCCAAAACCGTCTTATCCGTGATGTCTTGAAAGAAGTACTGATTGCTAGCCGAATCAAACAGATTAACCATCAGCCTGAGGGTCTTGAGATTGAAATGCGCGATCATATGCAGCACATTAGCCAGCTGGAAATGCAGCATGATGAGGTCGAACCACGCAGGTGTCTGGGAAACCGCCAGAACCGCGAAGGGCTGAGGACCCGCGGTCGTGTGTCCCTCCCACAACTCCTCAAACTTCAAGACAACATCGTTATCCTCATCAACAACTTCAGAATCCAGGAAAATATCGAGGAATGTCACACAATGCTGCAGGAGAAGGCCCAATTCAGTATCAGACAATCCGATCTCCTGCATGCACAATCGTTCCTTGGGCAGTTTTCCCAGTTTGTTCATGAGCTTAGAAGCCGTCTCCATCCGTTTCTTGATGTGAATGTTCCAAAGAAGGCAGCACACCCCGTGCCTCATGCATTTGGACGGAATTTTCCGCAGAATGTTCAAAGCAACTTCTAGGGACTGTAGCTTCGTGACGTTCTTGCTCCAATGCATGACGAACTCCCAGCACAAATTCGCCAGTAAAATGCTGCTGGTCAGACTGTACGGGAAGTGCTGCCTCAGAAGAGAGATCTTTTCCGAGACTTCCCGAGTGACTGGATCAAGATGTCTCTCCAAAACACTTCCTTTATCTTCTTTGACAGTAGCATTATCATCATTGCTGTGAGGACCATTCGACTTTTCTGCCGCTTGACCTTCGACGTCACGCGAGGCCACTTCTACAGCCTGTGAATACTCAACATGTGGATCAATAAGACTCTCAGGATCGACTCCAGATGACGACAACCACTTGGCCACAATCTCCGAAATGGATCCTTTCCCCTTGGAGATGATGTACCCCATCGAGATGTCAAGCCTCTCATACGGCAGGGAGTTGAACCGTCCGCTGCTATTCGGAATTGGCTGATTTATGACGGCGTTGAGAAGCGAGACATCCTCAAGGTTTCCAATGAGCAAGGTGAACTGACAAGTGTCGTTGCTGATGGTCTCCCACTCCTGGCCCTTCTCGCTATCATAATTTTCAGCACCTTCAGCCTCTTTATCAGAAATACAGTCCCTTCGCCTCTGCTGGCTGATCTCAACAGTCCTGCAAGCCAAAGCAGCCGTCAACGCCTGGAAAGGTCTAGGGGAGGACATCAGAATGCCCCTGATGTCGCTCCACCAGGAGGAAATCCCCTCGTGACCCTCATCTCCCTCGCGATCACCTTCGATGTTATCAAGGGCGCAGATGCCATGCAGCAACTGCGTGAATCTGCTGAGTTCGATCTCCAGCGGTGCCCCCGGCAGTTTCTTCAGCCAGTAGATCAACGCCAACTCAACCATAGACTTCGATCGTATGTTGGAGGCCTGCGCCGCCTCCTCCCATTCAGCTGTCGATTCACTGGAATACATCCAGCCTTGATAAATAAGCGAGCCAATCTGATACTTCTTGTCCTCGCTCAAGTCCGGCGTCAGCCCAATGCTGTTCTGCTGCACGCCGAAATCAAAGGACGATATAAAGTTCAGGAATAGTTCGCCGTCGTCTTTGAAGGTGACCCTAGTCTGGGACTTCATGGGTTCGAACTCGTAGAGGTGTTGGGATAATTTGAGAATCCTGTCGACTTCATGTTCAGACGTTAACAGAACTTTGGACAGACACTTTGTGTCTGGAATGCAGCTGGACGCGACAGTGTTGTACTCCGGGGGGCGATCGAACAGCGACCTGACATATTTGTAGAACTCTATAGCCTTCTGTAGCTGAATGGAGATCCTGTAGAGGGTCTTTCGCGCAGGCTCAAGTTCGTCATCCTCGAACTGTATCAAAGCGTTGACGAAGCAGTCAGTAGCTGCTAGCAAGGCATCCGGCGTGATGTGTCTATTTCCCATGAGCATCTCGATTATCTGCAGTCTAATCTCATTAGTCTTCAAGTCTGAACAGACACTCTTGATCTGGCTGATCAGCCTGTCTTCGTCGAACTCCACCTCCCTCATGAATGTCTTGAGCTTCTTGAAGAGATGAATATCTCGCGCTCGTTTTCCGTTTTTGCTACTAAGTGCGTAATGGAATGGAACGGATAGATCCTTCAGTCCACCTGCCGGATCCATGAATACACAAGCATACTGCGGCTTATTGGCGATGACTGGAGCGGTGTCATTCAGCCCCACAAGTCCATAATTGATGTAGATTAGTCTGCCATTTTTGCTAGCCGTGAAGGTCGTGATCTTCCCCCCCTGCTGAATGCCCCAGACATCAATGACTCCCTTCTTAGGTGCGTAAATGACCAGAAATAGTGCGGTTTTCAAAGCGTATCGAGTAGTTTTTCGTTGCGACCCTTTATGACTCTTTTCATTTAAACGATTCGTCGACAAATGCTTGTCCTCACTGACTTCGATCCACCCGCACTGCGCGTCCCTGTACCCCTTCCACATCCTCAAAGCCACCCCCTTCTTATTATTCAAGAGTACGACCCGTCCCATAGCGTCGGAAACCACCGACAGCGCCCTGTTTGGGCTAGTGATGAAGTTGTCGCCCTCTCTCATGACATCGCTCAAGGCAAACCTGCAGGTCATGACTTCCGGTGACTCGCCAGCCGGGCCCTTCTTCTCCTGAGCGTTCGTATTTGCATTGCTATTGTTCCCCTTAAGGTTGGTCCTCAGCCAGGGCACCGCCGTACCGATTTTTCCAATGGCGTTCGCCAAGGAACTAGCCATCGCCATTGCGACGTCTGACAGGACGGGGGCCGCGCCCCCTTCCAGGGCGTAATGGAAACCGAGGTAGGGGCGCTTGCCGGTTGCTATGGTCAGGGTATGTTGCGGGGCACTGGACCTGTAGGACGCGCCATAGCCCCCGCAGATGGAGGCGGTCATCAGGTGATCGAAAGTATTGACTGAGGTGATCCCTATGAACTCGCAGTCGTTAATAATGTCTTGCTCTTTGAAACCGAATTTTCGGAAGGTCAGGGTCGAAGGGGAATTGGAAAGTTTGTCCCCGAATTTCTCGAGGGAGTTCGCTTGGATCTGGGCTAGGTGGTTCCTTCGAGCCCGCAAAGTAGAAAATAGGGGGAATCCCGGGAGAATGGAGATGGCGGTGGTGTACAAGACATGGATCTCCTCGGTCAGACTGGTGTCGCCGGCGTGGCTAGTCAGGGAAGTTAGGGATTGACATTTTATTGATATGAGATTTTCGTTGTGGAGTTGTTCTTCTAGTAACAGAGCACCGAACTCTGTGTAGAATCGGATGAAGCCGGTGCTGAAACCGACTGCTATACAGGTCCAGTCCACGCCCCCGACGATGTTTGATTTGCCGAGGAGCGCCAGGGGGAGGCATAAGACTGAGGTGACGTACTCGGTTGGGTCCGAGGTCAGGGCACCACTCCAGGTGATGTTGAATTTATTTTTTACGTCACTGGACTCTTGAAGGTCCCATTTTGAGGTGAGGATTACCGCTTGGCGATGGAGGGCCAGGACCAGGACGTCTCCTGTTGATGAGAGAGAGAGGAGGCTGTCCTGCAGGGGGAGCTCCTCTTTTGGAATGTGGTCCACTAGGGATTATATATGTTGATATTATTTATTACCGCCTTTTTTGGGAAGCCGTAAATTATATATTAGAATATATAAGGGGGCATTCAAATATTATGTCACAAAATCAACTTCCACTTTATGTAGAGAACAATTTGGTATTTATTTTTTCTAGTATAAATAAAAATCTCGTGAATAATCAATTCTTTCTTCAATACTTTCTGAGTATGTCAACTTATTATTACTGCATTCAAATAATAATTCCTGTTTGCGAATCGTTTAGATACCTGGGAGAAAAAAAAATCGTCAAATAATTAATCTCATGGGCGAGTCAAACGAATTTTCATAAAAATGAGTGAAGGGTCATTTGAGTGAAGGGTTGTTGATCAATGAACGCTTCATCGCTTCATTCTTCATCTTCGTCATCTTCAGTATTATATGGGACTGCCAAAAGTTTCTTTTGACGGTTGACAGCAATTCGGATAGAACGTACATTTGGAATAACTGCCATGACACCACAGTGTCGCTGCTGCTCTTTTGAATTGCAGCGATAAGCATAATAAACTTCGCATTTTTAGCTTTCTTTCTAGGTTGATGTCCGGTTTCCTTTTCGTGGAAGCGACGGATGAAAAATATTACTTTATGTTATTAGGCTCGATAAACCGCGATTCTACACTCGCTTCGCTCGGTTAGATCGCGTTTTTCGGGCCCAACGACATAAAATATCGTATGTCACACGGCGATAAAAGCGTTATCTGGCGAATGTGGGTTTATAATCCGAGCCGAAAGCGATACTTTTATCGCCTGATGACATAATATACTATTTCGTCACTAGGCCGAAGGAAACTTTGCTGGCGAATATGAGTTTGCAATACGAACCAAAGGGGACGACTGCAATCATATGAGCTAGAAACGCTTTTTTCGGCCGGGTAACGAACATTATTTTTTGTCATTTGTCCAGAGACAGCGATTCGTGAAACGAATCACTGAAGTTTGAAATTAAAAAAAAAAGTATATGGTATAACATCACAATCTAAGCAACACCCCCTCCCCCCTCCATCAGAGTCGTCACGAAATGCAGACCCGTCTCACCCTCCTAATAGCGTCACGTAATATTTGAACGCTCCCTAATTGGAAATATCTGTGTTATGTTTCGTAATGATATAGGGATATTGATGCAGTGGTTGGGCAACTATACAACTGCACCTTTTACAAGGCTATCGACGACCGACCCCACCAAATACGAGTCTACCTGTACAACTGCACCTTTTACATCTCCACCAAGCGACACCCTCACCGAAACGATTTGAATATTGACAACTCTACCGCGCGAACATTACTACCCAATGATTCGAGAAATTTACATCCCCACCGTGGTACAAGCCAATCAGCGAACGAGTCGACCCGATGATGACTCACCCTGTACAACTGCACCGTACGACAAGCCTACCCACGAATTTTTGATTTGTAACATCCCCACCGAAAGATAACCCCACCGGCACTAATCTCCACCGGGTTTTTTTTTTTTTTTTATTGCTCTAGAAATCCGTACAGGATTTATTGGCTTAACGGAAACAGTTTTTTCCGTTTTGTTAGCATGTCTGTTACAGCACTGATTGTTGTCTTACGTACTATTATACATATAACGTTAGATCTTAATATTACAATCTTTTAGAAACTTATCGATAGCTTTTATGACAGGTAGACTTAGTGAGTGCAATATACAGTTGATATGAGGTGGAAATTGTATTTGTTTCTGGATTTTCTTCAACATTTTAACCCTGTTATATTCATACTTCGGACAGTTCCACAGAATGTGGTTAAAGTTCTCCTCCGGATGGCCACATGAGCATTTTGGGTCATTTATAATATTTATGCGATGAAGGGAACTTGCTGTATTGGTGTGATTGGACCGGGCTCTGTTGATCCATACGATCGTTTCTCTGGATAGCTTCCGAAATTTCGCAAACCACGGTTTTTTATTCTTTGTATAAAACGACTGGAAGTACACTGTTCCCTTACTTTCGCTTTTTTCAATTATCGTTTTCGTTGTAGAAGAGAAGGCTTTCTCCTTAAATTTTTCCTGGAAATCGGTAAATGGAATTCTATCTATATCTATTTGCAGATTTTCTGTCGCCGCTTTCGCAGTAGAGTCCGCTTGCTCATTGAATTCAATTCCCATGTGGGATGGGATCCAGTAAAATTGAATGAGGCGATCCGGGTACATTTCGGTTAGCTGGTTATATTTACGTTTTATTTCTAAGATGTAATTATTGCTTTTTATGTTCAATGAGACATTTTGAAGAGCTTGAAGAGCACTGAGACTATCCGAGAATATATGCACGTTTTGGTCGCTATTATTTATTGCAATGCTCATGGCATCGTTTAGAGCTGAGCATTCAGCAGTGTATACTGATGCATTAGCGTTCATACTTTTACCCTCGCAAATATTCAGCTGTGGACAGATAACACTAGAACCGACCGCATTTCCATCTTTGATCTTGCTACCATCCGTGAACATACAATAGGATGAGTTCCAATTTTTCTTCAGCTCTTCTGTCAGTATCTGAACTCTTCCAGTTGTTTTAATCAGTTCCCCGATTTCCGTATTAACAGGAATTTCGAGCATGAGGTTATTAAATTCGTGACTGTATATATTGTATGCATCTTTTTGTTCTAAGGCTTCTACCATTGTCCGTAAATTTGTGATGGATTGCAATAATAGTCTATTTTGTTTTTTGGCGATTTTGTATTTAGAACTATAAAATGTCTCGATTGTTTTGTGTAGTAACAGATTGTTATTACTCATTACTTTTATGATGAAGTTTTCAGCTAAAAAGGCTGCTCGATCTCTGATGGTCATTAATTTAGATTCTGCGAGAAGTATGTTCGTGGGAGTACTTCGGCGATATCCCAGGGCCGCCCTGACTGCATCATATTGTATTTTTTCTAGTTTGTGGGTCAGTTGCTTTGAGAATGGATAATAGGTGTGAAGACCGTAGTCAATTATTGCGCGAATGTAGCTTTTGTATAGGATTAGTAGAGTTTCTGGGTCCGAGCCCCACCAAGTTCCCCTTAAAAATTTAACGATGTTTAAAGCTTTTTGTGTTTTTCTTTCCACGTAGTCCACCTGAGATTTGAAAGTCAACTTATAGTCAAATATAACCCCGAGAAATCGACAGGATTCTACTGATTTGATTGTGTGGTTTTTTATTTTCATGATTGTGTCCCCCGGGCTGATTTTTTTATTGTTAAAGTGTATGAGTTGAGTCTTTGGTGGATTTATATCCAGGCCAATGGCAGAGAGATTATTATTTAAGGACAGGATAGCTTTTTCCAATCGCAATTTACATTCGTCTATCTTCGCACCAGAACAGTATATGGCCGTGTCGTCGGCGAACTGAGATACCGCTACTCCATCAGGGATATTTTTAATAATGTCGTTGACATAAACAGAGTACAGTAGTGGGCTTAGTACTCCACCTTGTGGGACCCCTTTATGTATGTAACGAACTCCGTTTGAATACTCTGTGCTTATTTTCCTCTCATGAGATAGGAATTTAACAAATTTAGCGATGTTGCTAGAGCATCCTATTGATGCTAACTTTTCCACAAGGATATCAGAGTTCACGTTATCGAACGCCCCAGACACATCTAGGAAAACCGCTAATACATGTTGCCTCCTGGATAAGGCCTGACTAACACACAATGTTAAATTAGCTAGATTATTTGCACATGAGCTGCCCTTCCTAAATCCCGTTTGTGTATTGCTTAGTAGTTTATTGTTTTCGATCCACCAATCTAGTCGGTTCTTTATCATGGTTTCGTATAACTTACATGTACATGAAGTCAGTGTGATTGGTCTGACGCTAGTACCATCGCCTTTTGGGATGAAGTGAACATAATGGTCATTCCATGCCTTTGGATATGCACCAGAAGAGAACATTTCATTGTATAAATCAAGCAACACTAATTGATATTTTGTTGGTAATTTTTTCAGAATTTGGTAATCAACTCCATCAATTCCGGGAGAGCTTTTTACTTTACGAGACTTGAGCGCCGTGATAAATTCTGTAAAATTGAATTGGTTGGATAGGAAATGGTTGTCCACGCATTCTGGCGATGTTTCGGGATTGCTAGGAACGTACGGTGGACTTATTCTATTTAATGCCTCTTCTATTTTTTCGACATATTGCAAGTTTTCTGCTGGGTTTTCCTCCTTTGTTTTAACCCATTTGTTCTTCAGTATTCTAGCTTTGTTCCACACGTATTTAATATTTACTCTGGAGTCTAATGATTGAGAAAACTTGATAAAATACTCTTTTTTTTTCTGTTTGAATAGTTTTTTGGCGACGGCACATAAGCGCTTATATTCCGTACGGTGGTTCAAATCACGTGAAAAAGACCATTTTTTGTAAGCTGCCCTTGTGAGTCTTTTGGTGCGATTGCATTCTTCGTCCCACCAACTGACCGGATTACTTTTCTTCTCTTTTTTATTTTTTTTACTATCTTTCATATTTTGGCGTTTTTTAACTGGAGTATGTTTTTTAATAGTATCCCTGATCGTATCGAAGAAATTGTCGTACTTTTCATTTATCGTTAGTTCTTCGAGTTGTTCAGTTATTACTGTATGATAGTTTTCGTCAAGTTGTTTTATTACTTTATTCCAATCTGTTTTTAATGAGTAAATTTTGAAAGTTTTTTTTTGATAGTAAAATTTGAGTACATTTATATTAACTATGAGTGGAAAGTGATCTGATCCCCATGGTTCGTCGTTCACCTTGCAATTAATGATGTCAGATATCTCCTGGGTTGACAATAACAGATCGATATTTGATTTGCTGTGTGTTCGAGGATCTTCATGTGTCAGTGTATCGGTGTTGTGTATTGTTAGGTCATAGTTTTCGATTGCTTTATACAGCCTTGTACCATTAGTATCGTAATCACGACAATTCCATACGGTATTGTGTGCATTGAAATCGCCAAATATTAAAGTGTTGTTAGTAATTTCTACGTTTGAGAT